AGACACTCAGAGGCTGCACTCTTCCGGTCTCCTGCCCCACATTCCACTCCAGTCTCTCCTCTCTGCCCCCCACAGTCAGTTATTTGGGGGAAAATGAGCTTTCACGGGTGAAAGGTGAACACTGCCTGTTCAATATTTTCTCCTAATGAGCCTTCGCGGCCCTCTCGCCTCTTAGGATGGAAGCAAGCATGCCACCGTTCCTGTTTATCAGCACTGTTTACCTGCAGAGGCGGAGGGAAGGAGAGAAGCAGTGTCATACGTAAATATCATGAAATTCACTGAGGCTGGCCGGCGGGTGCTTAATCCTACCTCCACCACTAATGATTTGCAACCCGAAGAAGTCACTCTCTCTCTGTTTTCTGTCTCAACAAGTAAATAAAGGGTAACCCACTTAAAAAAAATCAATACTGTTCCAAAGAAAAAGAGAATGTGTGTGTGTGTGTGTGTGTGTTTAGCACATGTACAGGTGCCCTCCTGGGGACAATTCAGTTTGTGCTGGCTGTTCCCAGTGGGGCCAGGAAGTGCTCAGTTTCAAATTTTTGCTCCCTTTACAAAACAGGAAAGCACCAAAATGGTGAACTGTCCACTAGACACTGAAGAAGGTCACCTCCTGTCCCCAGGCTCCTTGCAGAAGATCCTGTAACCCAGGAATCCCATCCAGCCACAGAACCCCTAGGCTGCTCCTCCAGCATGAAGCAGGGTTACATTGAGGTCCCAGGTCTGGGGAACCATCTAGAAGGGGCAGGAAAACACCTGGGGGTCACAATGGTAACATTGCTGCATGGGGTAATTGTTTTATACTTTTGAGCACTGGCTCCAAGACCTGACTGGTCATCTGGGTCCCCACCTCTCACTTGCCTGGGCTCCTCTGCCCTCTCTATGGACAGCCAAGGGCTGAAGATGTGGCTCAGTTGGTAGAGTTCTTTTAAAAATTTTTTTACTTATTTTTATTATGTATATGAGTGTTTTGCCTGCCTGTATGTAAGTGTACCACATGAGTGCAATGCCCTGAAGAGGTCAGAGGGTGTGGGATCCCCTGGAGTTGAAGATGGTTGTTAGTCACAACCATCCTGGAGTGCTAGGAATCAAACTCCAGTCTTCTGGAAGAACAGCAAGTATTCTTAACTGCTGAGCCATCTCTCCAGCCCCTCTGTTGGTAGTGTTCTTGCTTGGCATATGCAAAGCCTGGACTTGATTCCTAGCACGGAACTGGACGTGGTGGGACGACACTTGTAATCCCAACACTCTGGAAGTGGAGGCAGGAGAATTAAAAACTTTGACTCATTCTCAACTACCTAGTGCGTTTGAGGTCAACCTTGTCTCAACAACAAAAAAGAGGTAGCCAAGGGCGCTACTGCCAACCAGCTTCACAGAGCCATGGGGGACAGAAGAGGCCAGGCCCCAGCCTCAAACTACAGGCCAACAGAAGGACAGGACTCATGGATGGTGGAGAGAGCCTTCCTCTCAATCCCCAGGCCACCTCGTTTTTCCTGGGGCTGCTTTAGAAATCTCTAACTGAGCACTCTGTGTATCCCTCAGAGGTTAGAAGTCCAGTGTTGACTCATCATTCTCCACAGATGGTTGGCAGCTCTCTGGCAGAAGCTGCATCCACACACATCCCCTGTTCACCTGACTGAGTCCCCTGCTGGCCACGGCAGAAGGAAGGCTCAAAGCTCCATCTCTGAGGGTCACCAAGCTGTGTCTTGAGGGTGCCAGTGGCTCTGACCACTTTCAAATCCTGTTTCAGTATCACAGTGAAGTCTTCCTCGACTTCCCATTTCATGTGGAAACCTCCACTCTGGCTCTGCATGCCTTGCTTGCTTGAGCCTGCTTCATCCAGCCCCTTTCCCATCCCACCGGAATACAAGTCCTAAATGTCAGCATCACTCACTGGAGTGAGTTGGTATGCAGTAGGTGCTCCACAGATGTCCATTCAGCCATTCATGTTGCATACATGCTCATTTAAGATAAGACCTGGGGCCGGGGAGATGGCTGAGTCAGCAAAGTGCTTGCTGTGAAAGTATGAAGACCTGGGTTTGAACACCCAGCACCCACGTAGAAAGTGGGCACAGTGCCACACATCTGTAACCACAGCACTTCGGGGCGAGGGGGTGGAGCAAGGTGGAAGGGGGTTGGGCAGTGGGATGGGGATTTTCCAAAAATGTAGGGTAGGGTGTGACTGAGAAAGACACCCGACACTGATTTCTGGCCTCTACACACACACACACACACACACACACACACACACACACACACGAATAAGCCCTGCAGATCATGAATGTCTGCTCATTCTTCTAGGGAGATAAACCCCTTCTAGGCTCCTGCTTCAGTGTCTGATGCCAGGGGAATATAAAAGCCAGGCTCTCACTGGCCTGCTGCTTAGGAATCAGACCCACATCACTCCCACTGTGGCCCTTGCTGACTTACTGGCCCCTATTTTCTCAGCACACCTCAGACATTCTCATTGACTTGATGCTCTTCCCCACTGGAAGACCCCCAGTGCCTTTCGCGCCCTGTCCTTGCTGCCTGTGACTGCACCCCAAGATGGTCCAAGGCTGACAGATCTCAGCTCTAATCTTCCTTTTAAGGTTCCATCAAACCCAGTGCCCCTAAATTTCCATTTGCCACACCTCCATTTTATAGTCTGTGCTGTCTGCAACAATCTCATTTATTTACCGATAGAAACATTTTGCCAGGGAATCTCGACTCCATGGGCTCCACACTCAAGCCCTGTGCCTTTTCTATCACAGCCTGATCTCCCTTCTTGCTGGGTTTCACCACAGGCTCACCCAGTTGGGCCAGGTGCCCTACCATTCAGGCGCGTGAATTTGAAACTTAACTTTGTACACATCAGGAAGGTCAGGGAAGCAAGCATTCTCCCTTTCTCTCTGGGGCACCATGAAGGAGAGGCATGCTCCCCCGGGTCTGTTCTTGGTCTCATCTGGTGCGGTCTGTGTGGATTTGGGTGTCTGCTCCCTTGCACGATGAGAGACACCCATGCTAGATTTCCAGGGGGGAAGCAGCTTTTGCCCAGTACCGTCTGGCTCACACACTGGCTCCTCTCCATGCATGTCCCCATCAGAGCCCTTGTGGGGCCACCTGCTCACTCACCCTCTTTCTAGATGCAAGGGCAGCCTTTCCTACAGCCTCTGCACTGAGTCCCTGGAGGAAGGCAACGGCAGGGACGCCTTCTGGGCTCACGCAAGGACACCCTCACCGGCCTGAGGGTGGCACCAGCTCTGCAGCTTCTCTGGCCTCTAGCTGGGAGCCGGGTGCCAGTACCTCTTCCTGGCAGTGTCCTCAGTCCCAGGACTCTCTGGGGATCTCGTTTACTAGGTCCTAGGGGTGAAAAGAGGTGGTGTCATCTACCTCATGGTGACCACCTCGATCTCATAGATGGGCAGGGCACCATGTAGCCCCAGCTGGCCTGGAACTCGCTATGTAGACCATCCCAGGCTGACTTCCATTTCATGGTGATCTGCCTGCCTCTTCCTCCCGAGTGCTGGGATTAAAGGGTTGGTGCCATCATGCTGGGTAGGACATGGATTTTTTTTTTTTCAGCACAGAACATCCGTCTATAGCTGGGTGCCCCAGAAATTGGTTTTAGGGTGATGGAAAGTGCTCCTGTGTTCTCTCAGTTGTGTACTGAGGACCTTCCACAGCATGGCACTGCCAGTGTCTAGACGTGTCAGCCTGTCAACCCTTGGTAGCGGTTCCTTGAAGTGACACAGTTGCCAGCTTGCTGTGGGCATAGTGAGTGCAAACTAAGGAGTCACTACAGGAGGAGGGCGATGGGGGGCAGGCGCTGGCAGCTGCTCTGCGCTTGCTTGCCCTGCATACCCATTGTTTCCCTCCTCACCGTGACCTTGGCCAGCTGCCTGACCTTCACCCTCTGTGGGCAGCACGGCCTCTCTCCTGCCAAGCTCAGAGGGAGGGGGTAGATGAGCCGGGAGCTGTTGGCTCCGACAACTCATGTCCTGGCTGTGCTGCCCCTTGGCTGAGCTTAAGTCTCTTCTTCCAGCTTGTCATTTGTAAAAGTGGAATGTTAACAGACTCCACATTGTAAGGACAAAAATCGGTGGATGCACGTAATGTGCTTAGCTCATGCAGAGACATGGTGGGTCACAAACACTGATCAGAGCCAGTTATAGCCATTACCACAGAGACACACCAGGGTCTGTACACCCCTATACTGGCACTGTTGGCACGACACACCCTCTCATAAGGCAGAAGGCTGGGGGCTGACAAAGCCCCATGAGCCAAGGGTGCCCTGGGGGAGCGTGGCAGTTCAAGGAAGTGACAGCAGTCACAGACCTACTTGGTGTAGAGGGAGGGGGTAGATGAGCCAGGAGTGTTGGCTCTGGCAACTCTGGTCCTGGCTGTGCTGCCCCTTGGCTGAGCTTACATAGACATGGTGGGTCACAAGCAGAGTGAAGGACTTCATCAGAGTAAAGGGTGAAGCAGTCTTTTAGGAGGATTAATCTGGCTGCAGAGCCGGAGTGGAAAGCAGTCCGGCTCAGTGTAGAGGGAGACACAGCTGCTCAGCTCCTGAGTGGAGGGGTGGCCATCACAGGAAGTGGCCAGCCCTTGGCTGTCTGTTCCTCAGGGTTCCTGGCAGTGCAGCAGGGAGAGGCTGGCTGGGCCCTGTGCTGAGGAGGCAGCATTTGGGGGGCTGGCAGAGGGCACTGTTTTGTCAGGGATAGTAGCCTCCTCAAGGGACCTTGGCACCTGGACAGCCTCAGGACAGGGCATTTTCTTGTACGGGGCTGCAGCAGCTTGGGAACAGAGGTCTGGGGAGGTGCTTCTGAACCAGCCTGGGGCTTGCCTTCTCCATGGAAGGCCTTTGGGGAGGGGGAGCCCTGCAGGGTGGGCAGGCCTACCTGCTCCAACCACAGCAGACCCTGTAGACAGAGGACAGAAGAGGGGCTGAGTGTCACTCTTGGCTATGCTGTGATTGACCAGTACAGTGGCAGCCCCAGCTAAGAACAAAGTGACAGCCGTGGCCACACCATTTCATTGTTTTATTTCAAGGCATTATGATATTTGGGAAGTGGTAGGCAATTCCATCTTCTGTCTCCCGGAGGGCTATGCTGGGTTCACCACAGTCCAGCCTAGCCTGACTGGCCCTACTGAATGATCTGCTACACCCTCACACCAGGGTGTGGAACATGTCCACCTTCTCTCGGTACAGTTGGTAGAACTGCTTGGCCAGACAGTGGAATGGGGCCTCATAGCTGTCCATCTCTTTCTGTAAGAGAGAGAGAGGGGGGTGAAACTTTAGGGGAAGCTGGCACCCACCTGAGGCTTCCCTCCCATCAGGCAGCCAACACTCCGCTTTGGGGCATCTTCCTGCTGGCTGGGCAGCTGCTGTCACAATGCAGATTTTACAGGGAATCTGATAGAGAGGGAACCTGCTGACGGCTGCACTGCAAGTACATGGGGTCTGGGCTGAGTTGTCTGTGGAGCTGCCCTCCTAGCCACTGAGGCTGTGTGTGAAGGCAACGCAGAAAAGGTTCCTTCTCCTTTGGTTTTGACAGAGGCCCAAAGGCCAAAGCAAAATAGCAGCTGGATGTGCTGCAGGAGAGAGGCTGGTTGTAGCCTGCCTCCAGGAGAGGAGGGGAGGAAGAGGAAGAGGAGGATGAGGATGCCCTACAAAGGCAATGGGGCAAGGCCCAGCCAGGAGAGGCAGAGCACACACTACCTCCTACCCCCGATGCTGGGCTGTAGGAGCAGGCTTCCACTCTAGGGACCAATAGGGTTAACAAGACTGGGTGGGAGCAGGCCCGGGGCTGTCTTAACAGGAATATGCAGTGGCTTTGGGAAGGTGTCTGGTCCAAACAACAGCACAGGCCTCCTCCCATGGAAGGAATCTCTGGCACCTCAGAAGGCACACAGCTGGCTCCCCTGCTAGATTAGAGTTTCCACCAGTACCCTAGCTGGTGGCACTGCCCTAGCTGGTGACACTACCCTAACTGGAATGAGTGCTTTTCATGACTAAGTGACATATTTTCTGAGATGGTCAGAAGAAAGGAGCTTGCCTTAGGCCGTATCTAAGGGTGGCTAATGACACTTTCCAAGATGAGGTTGAAGGGTCACAGGGAAGAAGAAAACACACAGCACATTCCTGACACTGTGCCCGCTGTTCACTTGTGATGTGGGTGCCTGTGTGGTTGGCTGTGTTCCTGTCCCTCAAGCCTTTTTTGGGGCCCCATGTTGCAACACTGGATACAACACAGCCTATCTCTCAGATAACTTTTCTGTTTGTGTTTTGAGATAAGGTCTCATGTAGCTTAGGCTGGCCTCAAATTCACTATGCAGCCAAGGATGACCTTGAATTCTGATCTTCCTGCCTCTACCTCCAGGGTGCTAGGATTACAGGTATGTGCCATGACACTCAGTTTTATGTGATGATGGGGATCAAACCCAGGGCTTCCTGGATGATAGGCAAGCACTTTCCTAGCTAAGCTACATCTCTAGCTCCTCTTCCATTATTTACATATAGTTTTAGATAGGCACTTGCTATGTAGTCCAGGCTGGCCTTGAATTCCCCATCCTCCTGCCTCAGTCTCCCATGTGCTGGGATTACAGGCATGTACCACCATGCCTGGCTGCCTGGGTGTTTTTAATTTTTAAGACCTCAACAGCAGACAGAACCCGTTATACTCCAGACAAGAGCAATAGCTAGGAACACACAAGGGCCTGTCCGGAAGCTTCTCAGTGGCAGGCAAAGGCACAGCCATAGCAAGAGGCAGTGAAGTGTCCCCTACTAAATGGGAGGAACGTTGCAGAAGTCAGCACACATGGTGGCTGCATTTACAGATGAGTGGATGGGGCCCAGCTGGTTGGTGCATCTGGATCCGTGGCTGCTAGAGGCAACCTTTTCTTGGTGCAGCCATCAGGTGGCCCTGGCCCAGGGAAAAAGCTGTCTGGACCCCAAGGCAAGGGGCTCAATGCCAAGAGCACACAGGGGAAGGTGGACAGTTTGTAGCCCAGCCGAGCACCTGTGCTGAGCTCACAGTCGCCAAGGACCTGGCAGCTGGCCCCCCCACAAACATGAGAGACAAGTTGGTGTCGCTTCTGCTTGTGCAGCCACCAGGTCCTAGACAACAGTGGTGGCAATCGGGAACACATTCCCCCATTCAAAGTGTCCTTAAGCACCGAGTGGGACAGAAAGGATTTCTAAATGAATTCGAAAGCTCTCCAAAGCACGATCTGGGGAGAACCCCGCATAAAAAATAAGGAATTCCAATGCCTGCAACAGACACCATGGAGTACTCTGAAATAGATGGAAATTGAGCCGTTTTCCAAACACATTAAGGGGCCTGCCAGTGACAGGAATCCATTTACCAAATGACTAATTTGTGATCTCTGTACATAGTTTGCACAATCACAGAGCAGGTCTGTTCAGAGTGAAGGACGTTCAGAGTAGGTGCAGACTAGACCTCAGTTTGATTCCAAACTCTGTTCCTAAGAGCCCCACAATAGGTCCTGGGGTGGGAGTGGGGGGTCAGAGTGTGCACTCCTCCCAGGAGGCCTGAGCTTTCCAGCTAGACAGGCCTACGTCCTCGTCCTGACTCTATTCCTACTTAGCTGTGCGAACAGGGAAAGATACATAACCTCTCTGAGTCTGTTGACTGAACAACAGTGGTAGGAACAGCTGCCTTGCTGGGCTTCTATAAAGCTTAAGAAGGTAATTTGTGCAAAACACAGATCAAACGGGAGGTCCTCGACTGCCTGGGAGGGCAGACATTCTGATGGAAGAGATGAACTTGTTCTTGAACTGTACACAGCTGTAATCTCACTTTAGTGATGAACACTGGGTTTTGATTTTAGCTTTTAATTTTTTTTCAATTTTGTTCAAAGAAATCCTTTTTGACTTTTTTGGCCTAAAAATGTCAGACATGGAGGGGTGTTAAAGAGTCAAAGAACCACAGCGGTCTCTCCCTGAGGCTGCACATTGGTAGAAGCCAGAAGGAGACAGGCTTGGCAGCAACTCAAACAGCACTGGGTTATATTTCCTTTTTAATTACAGCTTTCTTAACCGAGCTGCCAGTGGAGCTCCTGTTAGGAGCAACTCAGGGGGGACTAGTTAACTCACACAGTTAATACCAAGTGCTCAACTGCAGGCTCTTCAAGCATAATTTATGCCCATCTGTCCCGACACCTGAGTGGAGCTGACCCATGCAGCCCAGTGGCCTTGGGTGACTGATGTGTTGGGGAGGGTTTTCACTCCTGGGAAATATGGGATGTTGAGGGAGGGACCGGTGTGATGGATGTGAAGAGAGGAAGAAGAGGGAATGGGGAGCCACTGCTGTGCGTGCACACCTCACTGCTCTCTCCAAGGTGCATGGTGCAGTCAGGGGACCTGTGCAGTACAAGTGCTCTCATTTGAATTTCATTAATTTAGCATTGTGATAATTGGACTCGAGGCAAGGGTGACATTCATCTCTGTACAAGCCACCAAATCTGGGGTTTAGTAAGTAATGATAGTAAAAACACGATACTGGGGGATCATTTCTACTTTAGAAAAGCTAATGCGTACTGAGTGCTAACTACACACTAGACTTTGTGCTGGTGCTTGGTACTCTCATGTTCAATAATCAGTGAGGGGCTCACTTTCCACTTTACAGGTGTACAGCCCATGCCCTGGGTCCCAGGGCCAGTTTTTCTCCTTGCCACTGGAAGGCAGAGCCCCTGCCCTGAACAGGTATACCTTCTCTGGGGAAGCATGCCAGTGGGAAATTTAAGATGTCCACGTCCACCCAGTGATGGAGCAGTGGCTCAGGTTGCTCTTGTAGGCAAGACAGTGGCAGAGTCAACAGCTGGAGGAGGCTGCACAGAAGGCCATAGCCAGGGTGTGCCCTACCCCAGTGATTCTTCTGAAAAGTACAAGAATCAGGTCTGAAAGGCCCAAAGTGAGGGGTAATATAACATTGCTACAGAGGGCCAGGAGAAGCTTTGCTGTAATATCACAGCTGCTTCTGAGACAGCAGTGTCTGGGCCACGTTCACACTGTGGTGGGAGACCCAGACCAGGTGTCTGCCAGATGTGACCAGAATCACATGCTTGTCCCAAACTGCATGGAAGCTTCGACTTCCAAAGCCCCAAATGTAAGAAGGCACTGTGCTGGACAGCCCAGATGCTATCACCAGTGACTGGTCACTCTGAGTCTCCCATTGCAAGAGGACTCCTGCATTGAAGAGGACACCAAATGCTCCTGTGGGGATCAGAAGCTGGAGTTCCTGGGTCTTGTGAGGAACATGGAGTTCCTCATCATGTGAGCCTGGACTAGTCACTTTTCCACCTCATGCTGAACTGCTACCTTTGGGTCAACTTGTAGGTTCACAGGACTAGCTGGGAGGGTCCAGTGAAATAAATGAAGGGTCGACAGCACTGTGACCTACTACAGCTCCCACAGAGGTCGAGGGTAAGGGAAACAGAATGCTAGTCACTGGAGAGTCTGACTGAAGGAGACACACACAGCTGTGCCTGGGGTGGGCTGGCCGCCCTGCTTCACTGTGACACACAGAAGACTCCTGCTATATACACAGAGCAGAGACCCTAGGTGGACTGTAAGCATCAGTTCTAATTTTGACTTTGCAGATCCTGGAAGAACCACCCGATGCGTGACGTTATAAGAAAAACCCTTCCAGAACAGGCCCTTTCCTGGCTCAGCAGCTGGGCAGGAGGAGGTACTCACCACGGATGTTTCAAAACATTCCAGGCCTTGGCTGAGAGCCCATGCCCGGGCCTGCGCTGAATCTACTGTTCGTCGGCCAGTCAGGTCCATCTTAGTTCCCACTAAAACACCTACTCAAAAGAAATGACCAGAGTATTGCCTTTTGAGGTAGCAGTCTGGGAGGTCAGCTGCAGGGAGGGGAGCGTCGGGAGACATGCTGCCTACTCCGGGTGGTGTGCACCAGGAAGGTCAAGGCCACAGAGGACAGGCACACTTAGCTGTGCACACGCGGCTCTGCTCAGAGCTCTCTTGAGGCTTCAAATAGATCCGTGTTCCTCATCTCCTTAGGGCTGCAAGCACCAAGCAGACCAGGGCCACGTTTCTAAGAGCATTTGTGATAATTCCCAGCACATGGAGAACCAACACGGGAAATGGTCGTTAATGCTAATCTCGGACCTGGGCTCCAAGTCAGGGACTCAGGTAATTGAGCTCTGTTCCCAGCTGCCTTGGCTGCACTAATTTCTCAGTCTGTCTCTGGAGGCTGCTTTCCCTGGCTTCTAATGAGGAGAATTTGTTGATCTCACACAGGGATGAAAAAGAAACTGATTTAAAGCGTGCAGAAGTGACATCAGGAATGTAACTTGTGCCTCACGTACAGGGGAATGAAGAATTCGTCCCCGGCAGTAGCTTTCTGGAAACATTCATTCTGAATCCAGCACCTTCCCCTTATTATCTTGACCCTCATAACTCTGCCAGCTGGGTAGCATTGTGCCCCCCTTCCCCACCCCGGCTCAGAGAGGGCTGGCAGCTCACTGAGGTTTGCAAGGCCACTAAGAGGCAGCATCAGGGTACAGTGAAGGCTGTTGGAGTTAAAGACTCAGGGCCCCTGATTTGTACCCACAGTGGCCTCTGCAGTGAACTCGGGCCCTTGAGCTGAAGAGGCACTGCTGGGAAATGGAGATGTCACAGCTCCTACCTGGGAGGGAGATGCCTGGAGCCTGGGCCCGGGCCTTCTCCAGCCACTTGCTGCAGCTGCTGAAGGACTGCTCATTGGTTACATCAAAGACGAGACACAGGACATTGGGACTCTCCCACTGTGCAGGAGGGACAGAAAGAGCACGTTTCAGGGACACAAAAGGGACTCCTAGGTTGGGGAAAACCTGGCCTTTGGGGAGGGGTGTGAGTTGGGCAACGAGCCACACCCACACAGAATGAATGAAGGCCAGGTGGGCAGAACACTTGCGGGACATGAGTTCCCACCTGGGAGAGGGAGCTGCTGCCCAGGCAGCTCTCAGCTGGGGTTTCCTGTGTGTCATGGAGACACCCCCAGCTGGCAAGGTTATTTGGGATAGTCCTGCTTTGTAGCTGAAGAAAACAGGTTCAGAGAGTGTTGACTGGCCCTGGTTGACAGGCTCTGGGACAGGCATCCAGGCTGGGTGGGACTGTTCTCCATTCAGAGGCCTACACAGTTCCACTAACTCTTCACCGCTGTTCTTTCGAGGGCCCTCTCCCTTTCGGCTGGGGTGCTCTCCCATTCTGGAGGCCGCAGAGTGCTCCTCCCTTCACTGGCTAGGCCCTGGACATTTGTTCTGCATCTTCTTCCTGAGGGCTGTTTTTAAAAACTGGGGGACACTTTTGGCTTCTCTCACGGTGTCACATATCAGCCCTAATACACACCACATCAACAAGGAGCCAGGGTTCCACCCTGAGGTCGTTGACTTCAGGGCTGGTTCCAAGTTCCAGCACATTCTGCTGCCTGCCGCCAGTGCTGCAGAGGGCTCCCTCTGGTTTGAAGTCTCTGGTCACTCCCACCCTGCATAATTACAGCTTGCTTTCTGTCTGTGATGTCAGTGACCTCGTAGGGTGTGGAGAGTCCTATGCTCCACTCTCCGTGGATGGCTAGCCCAGGCTGTGCTCTGGAGAGCAGGGCAGAGCAAACCTAAGATGCAATGACCCTCCTTGGTGTAGGGGAAGGGGCAGAGCCTCATTTCTGGCTCTGGGTCCTCCTAGATGGCTAGGATCAGTAGTTCTGTCCTGGGGGGGGGCTGAGGAGGGCCTGAAGTGTACCAACAGAAGGGGCTGCTCAATGGAGCAGGTCCTGGAGAGGGAGACTGACTGGCAGCCTGGTTCCTGGCCTATTCCAGAGCTGGGGGTGGCCATGATGGACCCTGGCTGCTCCTACTTGCCAAGTGGCCCAAAGCCCCAGCTAGGAGGAATGCTCCCTAAATGATCCTGCCTAGCGGCTTCTCCTGACAGCTCCCGTGCAGTGACATCCCTGTGCGAACACCATAAGGGACAAGCGTTGAACAGAAGGGGGTGGAAGGGGTGGGTAGAGAAAGGAGCACGATGCTTGCCAATTTATCCAGCATTTCAGAAAACAGCTCCTTGCCGGCCGAGTCAAAAATGAAGAGTTCCTGGAACAAGAAAAGCACAGCCCAGAAAGTGAGCGCGTGGGAAGACGCAAGTCCTGCTTTTACACTCAGCTCATGATGGACATGGCTCAGTGGGGAAGTGCACGTTTCCTCACTTCCCCGAGGCTCCAGAGAGATGACTGGAGAACCAGTCCAGAATCCCCAGAAGGAATGGCTCCTTCCCACCTGGTCCGACCAGGCAGCAGGTGGCTCACCTTTCCCAACCCTGCAGAAATCGAAGGAGCAGGCTGACTGCCCACCTGGCGGGACAGAGCTCTAAGCAAGCTGACAAGTGCTCTGGTGTCCAAAAGGTCACTCTGTACTTTGTTAACCAAATGGAGTCTCAGATCTTATAACAGTTCTTGATAAAGGAGGTCACTGAAGAGGCCTGGGGGAGGTGCTTAAAGTAGGACAGCCTGTCACCATTCTGGGCTGGTGAAGGCATGCTCTGGATGCGGGGTGCCCAGCCTTCCCATCCCAGGTGGAGCCCCTCCCCAACTTTGCCCTGATCTCCCCTCAGCTCCCTGGACACAACGTCCCCAGCAGGCTCCAGACCTGGCAGGCGGCACTGTCTACTCTGCGCACCTTAGCTTTTCCAGTGCCATGGAGTGGGGTACATGTCTTTCTTTCTTTTGGTTCATGGGCCTCTTTAAGAACCTGGTGAAAGCTACAGACCCTCTCCCTGGGAGCAGGCACATAAATGTGACATCTTGCAATTCACAGAGTTAAGAACCCAGATAACAGACATCAAGTCCTTTTGGCAAGGCCTGCATCCCCAGTTTCCTTTTCTCCCCCCATTAGGCCCTCCCTCCAACATCCCCTGTGTCCCCAGTGCTCAGTCTTCCCACCATGAGGTCCCTTGTAGGCAGGGGACCCCAGTCCACAGGCGCAACCCTGAGTATCCCTGGCTTTAGGGTGTCACTTACCACACTATCGTTTGTGTCAGGAACAGGCACCACCTTGACCACCAAATCCACACCTGTGGTCTGTAAGGGAACAGGGAGATCACAAGTATCAGAGGGCCCCACAGGGGATGATCCAGGACAGGATGAAAACCCACCTCCCTACAGAGATGTCCCCATTCAAGCAGAAGTTAGCACCAATGGTCTTCCAACTCCCTGCCCACTGTGAACTACTGTTCCTGGTGACCACATGGTACCCTGGCCAGTCCCCTCAGAAGACAGTCCTTCACTGGTGGCTGGAGGAAATCGGATCTCTACCGAAATGGCCATTTTCCTGATCTCTCCTTGGGTCTCATAGGATGTCATTCATGGATTTTACAAAGTCACTTCCTCACTGCTGTTGTTTTTAAAAAATATTTTATTACATATTTACTTTGTGTGTGTATATGTGTGTGTGTGAGAGAGAGAGAGAGAGAGAGAGACAGAGAGAGAGAGAAATCACATGTGCCACAGTGTGTGTGTGATCAGAAGAGTTGTGGGAGTCAGTTCTTTCCTTCCATGTGAGACTCAGGGATTGAACTCAGGTCTTTGGGCTGGGTGGCAAGTGCCTTTTCCCACTGAGCCGTCTCACTGGCCACCCCCTCACTGTTAGTGGTCGCTTTTCTTTAAGTTATAGCCAGGCAGGGACTTCCAGCTCACCAGAGTATAGTTCTTCTGGAAATGGGTCCCATCACTGCGGAACATCTGGGCCAGGGCCGTCTTGCCCACCGCCGGGTCTCCTAAGGTCAGAGCACAGGAAAAAAACATCACTTGGGCCCCCAGACATGAGACCTTTCCTGCTCCAAAACACTTTCCTAGAAACTAGAAACTTCCATTGAGTTTTCAAAGCAAACGTCCGTGGCTGTCATGGAAAGCTGAGAGGTCAAGGTAGGGCAACCAGTTCATAAGAACCATCTCTAAAACTCATCAGGGCCGAGTGCATTGCTACACAGCTCATGACCCTGCCAACCAAAAGAATGAGCCCAAAGGTAACAGGGGTTAAGGAGGGCTCTGGAGCCTTGGCAACAGGAATGATGCTCTTCCAGAGAGACATACCCCACGGGAAACCTGTCACCTTCAAACTCTGATTTACTCTGGAGTCTGGCCTGCCAAGAGGAGTGAGCTGCCAATCCCTGACCCCACCTGGCTGAGCCATGGCACAGACAAAAGTCAGAGGCTGCGTTCGCCGTGAGAAAATGCATTTCCAAGTGACATGCTCCATCTCCACTCAGTGCGCCAGGAGAACACTGAGGTTCATGACCTAGGAGCTTGCCCCTGACTCTCTCTGTGGTCATCCCCTCTACACTTATGTTGCCCCTGGCTGGGCTGACCACTTCGACTTTTTTTGTTCAGTCAACAGCTCCAGAAATGGGCACTTTAGAGGAAAGATTCAGGTCAGTCCTTAGCCCCAGATCTGAGCCTTCTCCAGAACTGGGAGCTCCTCCCAAGCCATCGTGGTAGCTGAAAGCTCCAGGTGTCCCCCTCCCCACCATCCCACCCACTTTGATGCTGCCTGTTTATACTTTTCCACCTTGGGAACAGTGCATCAATTCTTATCACCAGCTGTTAAAGGACAGCTGCTTGCTGCTTTCTCCCCTCTCCTGCCCTCAGAGATGTTACCACCACCCTCCCACCCTGGACTCTCAGCACTTGGAACCATCTCTGCCTTTGTTCTGTTTCACAGTGGCCCTTGCAAGACTTCTCTGGTCTGCAGCTCTGTGCTCTGTTCTGTTTTGATTTTTTCCACCTGTAATTTTCTCCTGTAAGACAATTAAGAGACTACTCATGGTGTTTTTCAATGGATGTGAACTCCTCCAGGGCCAAGCCAGCCTCTCAGGACTCTTCTGTCTGCCAGCACTTCTTAGAAGGGAACCACCATGGGCTATGCT